AATATTTTCCCCTCAAGTAAAATTGAAGTATATAGTTACAAGTGTTTTAGCAAAAGGATTTTATGTGATTGTAGTGTAAGCATCCATAGATGCCTCAGATAGCTAGCCACAACCATGCAGAGAGGAACGGAAGGAAGTGTAAAAGGAGTTTTAAATACAGAAAATGGTGAAAATCTCCTGGATTTAAAAAACATTCTTAAGAAGTCCAAGTTCTATCAGTAGAATAGTTGGCACCACGATTCATGAGAATGGGTTGTTTTTAAAAACTTTTCTATCTACTTTTTATTTTTAATTTCATATAGAAGTTCATAAATATTATAGCTGCTAAAATACATAGAGCTAAATCCAGCAGGCAGCTGAATACTGTTGAAGGAGGTGCATAGAGGCAAAGCACTAAGTCCTAGCCAACCCAGCTTTTGCTCAGCAGCCTTGGAGAGAGATTTCTGGGTAATGAGGAAAAATATGAACTGTGCTCAAATTCAAATAAAGCTTTGACTTTTGAGGGTGTTTTGCGCCTGAGGCACACAGGCACTTTGGAATATTCCACTGTACATCTACCCTGAAGGCACATGGGAGTAGGAGGAAAGGAAGTGTGTTGAGGGACCCAGGGCATGGCCAAGGACTAATAGTCTAAGTGCAATCCTGTACGTGGAAATGAAAGCCCTGATCCAGCAAGAAGCCTGTGTATAATTCTAAGCATATGAATAGTCCCACTGAGCCTAGATCAGGGCTTATGTGCACAGCGAACATTTTCACAATTTCAGGATAACCAGCTGGAGATCTTCTCCAGTTGAGTGTATGGAAAAGCCAACCTTAAGAGGGACTGAGAGCAGAAGCTGTCATTTGGGCCAATCATGTAGATAGAAATGCTTGTTACAGCTCCCAAAAAGACAGCAGTTCAGTGCCCCTTGATATATGCCAGGCAGATGTTCTTGGTGGACCATTAACCACGTAGTGACCGAGGCCCCAGCATACTTCATCTTACTGGATCATAAATAACAAAGCACCATGCTTAGAATCCCTCCAGGTGGCTTTGTCTTGCTCATGTTCAACCCTTGTGTACTCCTGTAGGCTCAAGCTTGTGTTCAGTAGGGCTTACCCTGAGATCACTGTAGAGTAATCTTTTTGATGCCTTGGCCAAAAGCTATAGTTCCATCAGTTTAATAAACAAAAATAAAATAAAATAAAATAAAATTAAATTAAAAAAAGCTGTCTGGAATCAGGAGACAGCAGAATAAAAATGGTGACAACCATTAAATTAGTACTTTTAATAAGGTGGACTCCTCATGTAGTTTGTTAATTAACAGTAAATAAAGTTATTTAAAAAAATCTCTTTTAGTAACATATGCAGAGAATTTGCATGCTTTTATTTGGAGATTTTTATTATGTTTTCCCATGTAGTATAACAACTTTGTTCACTTCAATTGCAGGTTGATAAGTATATACTATATGCTATGTAATCTTAGATGAAAAGGGGAGTCAATGAAGTTTATTTAAAAAAAAGAGAATAGGCAAAAAAAGTAATAGGCAAGAGCAATAAATAAACTAAGAAAAAATAATAAAACCATCATATGCCAAGTACAGCAACTAACAAGGTTTGTGGCTGCCATTCCCCTGATCACTTTGCTTGTATATCCCTTTCTTCTACCCATTGTATTGTCTGATTAGACTGTAAGGGTATGTGTATACTACAACATAACACCCAGGGCTTGCCCATGTCAGCTGACTTGGGCTTGCAGGGGTTGGGCTGTAGGGCTATAAAACTGCAGTGTAGACATTTGGGCTTGGGCTGGAGCCCCTGCTCTGGCACCCTTTCCCCTTGTGGGGTCCCAGAGCTCGAGCCCAAACAATTGGCAGAGACCGTGTGGGTTTTTCACTTTCCTCTGTAGCATAGGGCATGGGTCACTTACAAGTTTAAATTAGAGTAAAGGGTGGATTCTCTGTAACTTGACGTCTTTAAATCATGAATTGAGGACTTCAGTAACTCAGCCAGAGCTTATGGGTTTATTACAAGAGTAAGGGGGTGAGGTTCTGTGGCCTGCTCCAGGTCTTTCATTGCAGTGTAGACATACTCTAATGTCCCGATAGATCCTCAAAGTTTTTTAGGTGCCTAACCCCAATTGATTTCAAGGTCTTTGGATAGGGACTGTTTCTTTTTACATGTATTTGCAATGGGGCCCTTATCCTGATTGGGGCCTTTTGGCACAACTGTAATACAAATCAACAATAACATTATTTCATCTGTTCCAATATACCACATATTTAGTAGCCAGGATTTTCAATGTTTTTCTCTTTTAAAATTCACATGATTATAGGGATATTGGTTCTTGAATTCAAAGTTCATGAAGGAGGCAAGCAAAATGAAGGAATTCACTGGTGTGTTTTCACTAAATATTATTATTACTAATACTGTGGAAGCGCTTAGAGGCATAGATCAGATGGGGCCCCATTGTTCTTGGCACACAGAAATATATAGTAAATGACAGTCCCGGTCCTGAAGATCTTAGAGTCTAAAAGATAGAACTTAAAAACTTGAGTGTGTGTGTAACAAAGGCTCTATGTTCTGCAGTCTGATGGAAAAAAAATCAAATAGGTGTATATTGGCATAGCAATGCTGGTAATGTGGGTAGCAGAACTTACTCCACTCTGTCACACAGCTATTAAGTTTCAGTAAACATTCATCTCTGAATCTCCCTGCGAGAAGAGTCTTCACTCATTTCCAAATATGTACCCCCACCTACTATATCAGCATCCAATTCTCTCTCATCTTTGCACTGATAATTCAGCATCATTACAAAATACACACAGCCCTTTCAAACCACTTTTTAACTTAGTCAGCCTGATTAAAAGCAATGGTTTTGATATTTATAAACTGTTGAAGTTCTGGGGTCAAGCTGTTACTGGTATATTTTATCTTTTTTAGATATGTTGACTATCATATCTGATAATAATAATACATATTATCCACATTTTATATAGACACACATTAAGCACCAAGAACATGAAGCACAAATACTGTAACAGTGATATAGCCTAAACTGGCCTATACCATAATCCTATTAACTTAAGCTAAGTATCCCATAACTCCTTGCATTTGCTGAAACAAGTATTTGCATAAGGAGATAGGAAACTTGTAAACATCAAGATTAATTTGGTCTATGTCTTAGTACAAGCTAGGGAGGTACCTTCATGGACCAGTACCTGGAATGCTAGTATCCATAAGAAAGAAACAGAACAACAAGTTAGGGAACTGGGACAAACTGATGGGTTGGATTTTAATGATGTGTAAAGAGATTGTAAACCTGTAAAATCACTGTATAAATAATACCAGCTGAAATTGTAACTTTGGGGAGCACACCTTCTGCATAAGGTGAATCTAACATCGCTGCACAAGATGGCTTCTTGGAAACTGGCATCGTACAGAACCTTTGTCCTGCACTATATTAATAAACCTGACTGACACTGGTTATCTTGAGTATATTTCATAACAAACCAAAGTATGGTCAAGCAATTGACTACACAATTTATCAATAAATATGATATACGATGTGCAGGTTTATTTTCAAAGTGGGCCAAGTGACTTAAGCTGGGCCTGCCTGAGCATTTTTAAAAATCTTGATTTTGGGGCCAGTCCCTTGAGCCATACCCTCCTTCTGGGACCATTCAGTCCCAAGAGCCCTCCACAGACTTGGGTATGACTGATAAGCTGTTCTGAAAATTTCCTGATTGCTCAAACATTTGAGTCCATCTGGAGTTCCCAGAAGGCCATTTTCACCCATGCAACCTACAGAAGTTTTTCAGAGCACTTTACAGAAAATGGTTGAGGGAAATATAAAGCAAATATCTCAGACAGTGGTGAACCATCGCCAGTACACTTTACAAATAACTAGCTGGAAAAAACTAAAGGAAGACTCCATATGAAGGAATATAATCTATTATCACTATGTTCACTGTTTTTCATTGACTTGAATGAATTTTGGATCAGGCCCTTAACCTGTAGTTTTCAGTTTACCCATTAAAATGGACTCAAACTGGTAAAATGCCAGATTAAAAGCTACATTCAATCAAAAGGCATTCTAATCAGGGACTTTCTTATTAACAGGAATGATTCTGAAGCACCCTTTAGGCATAATTCCATGGTGTGGAAAATGAGGGAATGCTGTATTTTTAAAAAATATCATGTGCACCTCAGTTTACGTGTGTGACATTATCCTGCCTGAGTGCAAGGAGTTAAACCAAAGGAAGCTGTTGGGGCAGGGGAATGAAATGGGAAGCAAAACAATGGCAAAGTTAAGGTACAGTCCAGAGAATACTATAGGCCCTTGAGGACACAATAGGAAAGCTATTAATTGGAGAATCCCTCCAGCCCGGCTGCAACTAAGATGGCAAATGTATTCTTCCCAAACCTGAGCCTAGGGAAGAAGAGGACTGAGTGGACTGTCAGCTGCCCAGGAAGGAGACTGTGACAGGCACACAGAGAGACACAGAAACTGCAGCAAGCAAGCTGTCTTCCCCAGCTTAGAGATGGAGGTAACTGGCTGAATGGAACTCTCCAAAATCTCACGAGAAAAGATTTAAAAGTTTAGGTAAGGGGAAATAGGTGTAGAGGCCTTTTTGTTTTTATCCACTGCTGTGTGCTATGTCCCTTTGGGTGAGTAAATAATACTTTGATTTGAAGATGCTGTTTTTGAGTCACTATAATCAGCTACTGCCACAGCTCCTGAAGGAAAAGGGTTTCCAAATGCCAAACACAGGGCCTCTTGTGTTAACATGGCTTGAAAACATAGGGGCTGTAGCCCAGAGATCCAGTCAGAATGGCTGGACTGCAGGAAGCCAGGCCTGATATCTGAGGGGTGCACTCAAGAGGAGAAAGCAGAGCTCACCGTATAACCAGGAAACATGGTTTTAAAACAATTTAAGTCAACAGAATTATTACAACATACAGCTCTCAAAATAACTTGTAAAAAAAAATTTAAACTAGAAAGAGCATCTAAGCTTACTGCTTCACCAGTTTTTCCAAGGTTTCCTTGATCTCCTGGTTCTCCCTGTTAATGCAGAAAACAGATTATATAGTTTATTATAAATTTCACTTCTTGCAGGAGGGTGCTTTAAACTTCTCCATTTTCCCCAAGTTCCCTTTGTGTTTCATTTTCTATATAAAACCTAAGCAGTAAAATTATACAAACTTAACAAAAACAATAGTTTTGCCTTTATGATCAGGTATTGTTTGGTTCTCTTTTTAACCCCTCCCTCTTAGATTCATATCTTCCTTTTGTCAAATGGAAATTAAATATAAATACACTCTATAATTGCCTTCATTAATTCATAACCACTTCTAAAAGCAAATTTTACTTGTAAATAGTCTGTTAACTTATATCAATTTGACAATACACCATATGGGGCAATTATTTGCATAAACTATAATAGTATTAATCAGATATTTAACTCTTCAATTGCTTTTCCAAATTTGCACTGTTCCACATTTATGACGGTTTTGCCAGACACCCTACTTTACACAGCAGTTGGAATGAAATTCTAAAAAACTCACGTTACTCTTCCAAAATGCTACATTAGAAAGAGATAGGAATATTATAAGAGCAATTCTACTCTCAATTATTACGCTGCAAGTCTTGCAAATCCATAGAAGCTCCATAGAGTCATGGTGGATTTACACTGATGTATTTTAGAGCAGATTTTTACAAAAGAATGTCACTGTATTAATTATCTTGCTAACACCACAGAAGTGGCAGTATCAGCCCTGCTATCCCATCAAATATTGATTTGAGGAGCACTTGGTGTTATGTTGGCTCAGCTGTGAGGCATTGTGCTTCCCTGCAGCTAGAGCATCGGTGTGCAAGGAGCTGCAGCATCAGTGCCATGGAAGTCCTTTAAATGCAAAGGGACTGAACTCACACCAGCCTTCCCCACATGTACCCCAATCCTCTCCTTTCTTCCTGCCTCCACACCCCCAGGTCCCCAACATTCATACTAACCCTCCTCTTGGCCTCCTCAAATTTCCACTTATCCTCCCCCACAGAGCCATATGGAGGGACAGCAGGTGCTATCCATGCCCCCCAATCCTGTTGGCAATATTCTTCACTCTCCCAACTGAGGAACCTGCAAGTAAGCAGATTCACTGGCTAGATGTATGTCAACAAGTGGCCTCATCTCAGGTGCCCCCTCATGGCCACAAGGCCACTCTGCAAGGGGTCCCTCACCTCAGTTTTCCTCTTGAGTTCACAGTAAGTTCAATACAAGCATGTCCTCAAGTCCATCACAGTTTATTAACCAAAATACAGTGCAAACATCCCAAATCAAAAGTCACACAACACAGTTCACATCATCCCTGTTCATGTAATCTTTAAAAACTCAGCTCTTTTTTCACCATCCTGGTGTCTTCCACTAGACCCGAACTCTTTATCAGTTGTTCTCTGTCCCACCACCAGGACTGCCACCCGAGCCCTTCCTTCTGGGGCACAATCCCCCTCTTCCCAGTGGTAACTCTCACAGTCTCTCCACTGAAAGTCTCGTCTGGTTCCTCTGGGACCCAGCTCCCCGGTAAGGAGATGCCAGCACCAGCAGGTAAGGCCCTCTGCTGCCCTCTGGATCCAGCTCACCAGCTTAGTAAGTATCTCCCTTTGCTGCTCCTTCCCACTTTCAACCCTCTCCATTCCTGGCTTTCTGGCTTAGGGAAACCTGCCAGCAAACCCCTTGCTACTCTCCTGCTTTCAGCCCTCTCCTAGGAACTACTCTTCCTGACTGAACCAGTGTGCTCTGACCCTCTTAACTCACGCACAGGTCTCTTATGTTTCCCAGATGGTGCCTCGCCCTCTTAATTGGCTCAAACAGGGAGCAGCTGTAGTGGAAGAGGAGAGCTGAGCCCAATTTCCTTTAGTGCGCCAGCAACCCTGTTACAATGTATCTCTCGCGCACACACACACTCTAACCAGGGGTGTTGGAACAATTTTTATAGTGGGGGGTACTATTGATGGAAACCACGTATTTGGTGTTTGTTATTACTAAATACTTCAAGTGAGGGTGTGTGGCAGCACCTCAGTTCCAGCACCACTGACTCTAACTATATTCTATTTTCATATATAAAACCCAGCAGTATTACCTTCAAGCCTTCTGATCCAGGTTCACCGGCATACCCTTTCCGACCTGGCCTTCCCTAAAATAATAAATAAAATTAAAGATTTCAAATATTTGACTTTTACAAAAAATATATCTCTATTTCCTAATTTCCCTATTTATCACAGGGTCTCTCTCAAAAAGCTATTTAATTAAATGTATTAAATGTTTAAATATAATACACTGTCTACTAACTTTATTGTACTGTGCATTTTACAGCCACTTTTCTGAAAATATGCTATTGAATATAAAAGAAAACACAGTACAATCAACAAAACCTGTATCAACTTTTACAACAGCCAATGATTTATTAGAGAACATTCATCAAAACCCAAGGATGTAACATCCACTTCAATTTCAGTTATAAGAGACCACTGAGGTGGCAAAGAACAGAAAGGAGCTAATTCACTGCTGTCATAACACCACTGAAGCAGGGGAAGTAACACTGCCAGAGAATTTAATGACAGGTGTTCCAACTCTCTTTTCTCTATTAGACAGAATCAGCTCAAATTTCTTCTCTCCTTTGCTCAGAAAGAGTATTGTAAATTTCAACTCCTGAGTTGTTTTACCTTTGGTTTGATGATTATGCTTGTTAACAAATCTTGCTGCTATGATAACTACTTAATTGTAGCATATTGTTAGCTGAGGAGAAGTATGGTACCATTAATCAGACTGAGAGACCACAGATGAGGAGGCTTTTAGAAACCTTTTACTGTGACCCCCTCTACCTGCTGCCACTCACACAAAACAAAATGGCACAGAAAGACAAAAAGGAGATTCTTCTTCTGAATTTTCACTTGGCTATTTGTAAAATTTTAATTGTGCCAAGGGCAGTCTTATTTTTATTGTGCCATTTATTTTTTTTCAAATATGTCTTATTTCCTCCTCAAAATAACTTGCAGCCTAGAAATCTTAGCCCACTACAGTCACATAACAGTAGTGACAAGTTAGTCTCCCTAAGCGATGGCAGTTTTATTTACCACATTTCCATTGAATATCCCCAAGTTTCAATTAAGACTGTTTATCCAAACGTAAAGGTCTTCAGAACAATTGTATTTTAAAAGGACCATCTTGTTTTTTTTAGAAATACACTGTGATACTGCAAAAGTACAGTATAGCACTGCAAGTTATGGACATAACATGGCATATGCTGAGGATTATATCATTATCACACTTGGGACTGCAAAATGCCAAACACAATTACCCATGCCATTTGCAGTTAGCAGCTGCAAGTAAAATACGTTGTGGAGTTCCTTGGTCCACAGTGAAAGCATGGCTCCTGCAAAAGAGTGTATAGCGTGGGTTCTCTGTTGACCAATGTGTGTGTGCAGGAGGTGGATATTGAAATCTCCCTCCTGGCTGTCTCCTTTGAGGTGGCTAGTCTCATGCTGTCCTTGTGCTCAGGGAAGCACAAACACTATAGCTGTGCCCAGTACCTAATGGGTGCAAACTGTGTCTGAGATGCTTGCAATCCAAACACTCGAAACAAATATATACTAGGAGAAATGTGATGCTATACATAATGGACTCCTCTTAAAGGCTGATTGACAATACCTCTGTAGGTGAAAAGCCTTAAAAGGGAAACTACAAGTATTGTACAGATTCTTGAAGTTCTGCTTAGCAGGACTTTTCAGTCTTTTGAGCATAACAGCTGCACCAGACTGAATGATTGTGACTATAGGATCAACAGTCTGCATTGGGACCTTCACTTACAGTTTACTCATCAAAATCAGGGCAAAGTGCAATCAAAGCAATGGGCACTAAGCTACCTCCTTATTTCCCAGAGCAAGGGCACAATCTGGGTCTTGGGTTCTGTTACCTTGATTCTCTGTGACTGTATCTATCCCTCAGTGCCAATGTCTGGGCATGTTCCCTGACTGTCTGAGTATTCTCTGTATGTTTTGAGACTATATATTCTTACTAGGTTCCCATGATACAAACTTTAATCCCATTTTTTTCTGGCAGCCCCAATAACCCTAAAAGCATTCCATTTTGTTACACAAGTTTCAACAAGTCCGGACAGAGATGTGCTTTGGTAATATTCTTTAGTTGTTATAAATGGGTTAAATACAACCTCAGGGTGGCAATGCTGCCAGAGAGGAGGCAGTTACTGAAGTCAACCCATTTGAAACAATTTTTGGCTGGCACCTTCCATGTGCTGAAGCTGGCGTTCCAGTTTCTGATCAGCAGGCACAATGCCATCTTAACATGAGGACACAAGTGCAGGTGCAGAAGAGACCATACGAGAGCATCAAATGAGTTACTTGAGGGCATGATTCCAAGTCAGAAGTATTGAAACTGTATCTCATTCTGACTTTACAAACTCTGGGTTAAGGGCTATGCTGTCACTACTCTGCTCAGCGTTGGTTCAACCTTCCACATTGGGAGTGGAATAGAGAGAGGTATGGTAATAAAGCTTAGGGCTTTGTGAAGAGTATCCCCAGAACTGGAGAAAGCACAGTTTGCAGAAAAGTCACATTTCTATACATGGGTCAATGATGTGAGGGCCATAAGTGATGGGCTTCTACAGGCTACTGCATGCACAGGGGCTGTGAAACTATTCTGTTGGAAACAGACCTTCATTATTTACACTCAGTAGTGCACAATATATAATAGTTTTACTTGGAATTCTCACAAGAAGAATCTAACCTTCTAAAATGTAATGATATATCACTAAATAGTTATCATTTATTTCTATAAAGATTGTGAAGCAGTTCCTGCAACCCTTCTATTGTGCAGCACTTACTCCTTATTCAAGTAAATGGAACTAGTTGTATATGTGTTACTCAACCTAAGTAAGGGTTGCAGAATCTGGCTTTATAGGATTATTGGTGTCATGTGATAAACTAGTTAAGGGGCACTTAAAGTTAGGATTTATATGGCTCAGCTACAGGAGTTATTTTATTGCAAATTTGCCATGCTAGCCAAGAACAATTTACAGTCTATATTCTAACTGCAAAGAATAACCCTGAAATCCACGCCTATTGTTTAGAGTTGCTCAATAAATCTGAATATGTAAAACTGAAATTGGAGGAAAACATACTTTTGAGTGAGTGATTAAATATTTCATTTGCTCTTGGAAACTGCAGTTATTAAATTCTGAGGGTAATAGTCTACCTGATGCTTTACTTTCTGGACTTTGTTGTGCCAACTTGCATTACATTGTCGCCTCTTCATATTAGCAAGCAAGTTTTCATATACTGTATCTCGCCTACAATTTCTTCAGGGGAAGAATGGTTGGAGCTTGCTCTGAATCATCTCTTCGGCTGAATTGGTATTGAAGAATCCACACCACATACACACATTTCACAAAGTAACAGAATTTAGCAGATTCCCGTGTAATTATTCTCCCTCCCTCCCCATATTTCCTTTCCAATCATTGTTAATTGCCAAGATATTTTGGGTGCAGTTCAGATTAAACAGGTAAAACCGTGTGTAAGTCTCTTGGTAAAATTTCCCAAATGATATAAATGGCAGTTTAGGTCACACATCAGATGAAAATTGATCATAAAATGTGTGAAAGTGGATATAAGTGGGAAAGCAATGTAAAACTGAAGACAGATTTGACATTCAATGCATGTGCAAGATGAGTGTAATTTACACATTGAGGGGGAGAGTAACTGACAAGAAAACATAAGATGTAAGATAAAGTAAGGGTAGCCTCTCCTCATCCTACATCATTCTTGGAAAAGACACTTTAATGAAGTAAAAAAAACTTAAGAAAAATGATTTTTGTCTTAATGAATTAATGGAATGTGCCAAGCCCCTCTTCAGGAAAGAGAAATCAAGTGTACCCCTTTTATCCCCAAAATGGCTAGTCGTTTTAATTTCTACATTCTACATGTTGCCCTCCTAACCCTGGCTAATCCTTCACATGACCATACCCCACAGAAGGGCATGCACCACACTTTGGGATATGCAGAATGATTGTAAATGCTCACAGAGCTTTGCTGGGACATTCTACACTTTCCTAGGAGGAACAGATTGACAGGCTAATATATAATTTCACAGATTATTTGTGGCTTTTGCTCTTCATCTGTCCCTCACAATGGCAATCAGGGAATATCCAGCAATATACTGTTCAAGTTCATTCTAATGTTCTGAAGGTTTCAAATCAGTGACTAAATGGCAAGAATAAAGGTACAAAAACCATGACCAGCTGATTGACTGACCTACAGTGACACAGTGATATTAATGTCTGGCTAAATGTTATGACTGTTTGTTAATTGTGATTAAATTGAATATGCAGAGGCATCTCTTGTATGTGGCATCTATTGTATTTTCACAAGCAAAATAAGCTAAAATGAAAATCAGAATATGCTACTCTACATAGAGTATAAGAACACATAAAAGAACAATCCAGGCATGTGTCACTGAGCTAGTATGAGAGGGAAGGTTTTGGTAAGAGGTGAGCCCGGCAGATGGATTTGACTGAGAGTTGGCAGTCCAAAACCTCTCTCTATAATAAGCCAAAGGGAAACACCTGGAGCTTTAGATTTGGATCTGGATGTTGAATCCTGGAGTTCAGGAAGGAGAGATCCTGTGTTTTGGTTCTACCTGTTTAAGATATATGGGAATTCTAATCCAGACCTAAATTTGGGATCTGCAGTCTGGGTTCAGGTTCATCTCATTCATTCAGTAGCTGGTAATGGAATTTGTTTGGGGGCACTTGTCATTGTGAGGATTTGGTCCCAAGTTTATCTTGTAGATGTGTAGAGAAGATCATAGCACGTGCCTAAGACTGGCCATGACACTAACGTCTTTCACCTGTAGATAATAGGGGCATATTAGATAGAAAAATAGATTAGATATTGAAGAAGGGCAGGAAACCTGTTCCACTAAAATCAATGGGCATTTGGCCAATGACATCAATGGGAGGAGGATCATAACTGTAATCCCTTTATTTCATTAGTATGATAAATACTCTAATGACATTAGCTTCCATAATGTGTTTTGAAAACTCTGTTCATGCAAACAGTGTGAAAAGCAAGACATGTAAATAGCTTGTTGATCTGGATCTGAACTAGCATCCAGGCTTGTTCCACTATATTTGGTGTTCATTTGATCGAGGCCCATCCTCACTCCCATGTAACCATCCAATCTCCCCCAACCCATGTTATGAGAAGGGGTGCAGAGGCAAGGTTAGGCAGGAGCGGGAGAAGTGTGGGGAAGGAGAAGGGCTCCAGGGGTAGGAATAGGAAGCAGTAAGCTGGCAAGGGGTCCTGAGACAGCGTCAGGTAGGGGAAACAGAAGTATCCAGGCCACAGTAGCTGGGTCCCTGAAGCAAGGGAAAAAGCTGGCAGTTGAAACACACAGAGAGAATCCTGACCCCCTAACAACTCGAAAATCCCCAATTCTCTTGCTCTTTTGTCTCAGCAAGGAATGTGGGCGAGCAAACTGCTCCAAAATATCTGAGGTTAGCCACGGGGTTGAAATCTCCAGTGTTCATGAAGCATATATTGTCCATGCATTCTTCACTCAAAATTGTTTGTCATCATAGAGAAATTAGTGAATCATTAGTAGGGCTACATGTTTGTCATGGTGAGGAAAATGTCACGGATAATGTGACTTTTCAAATTTGAATGAGGGGACTGGCACGAGCACTCTGGCCTGTTGGCCATACCGGAGTATTGCTGTGACCCCACGTACCAGGTTGAAATGCCTAGAGTGGGAAGCCAGGCCCAGCCCCTCCAGACAGCAGCTGACACTGTGGGTGAGTGTGGGACACACTATCTCCAGCCCTGCCCCCACCCTGCTGGGGCCTCCCCTCTTCACCAGGCTGGGATTAGGGTTGCGGTGCAGTGGTGGAGGATGCTGCTGCAGGTAGTCCGTGCCCTCTCGGTGGCAAGAGGAGGATGACGACTCTGGCCTATGATTTTATAGAGGTATAGTTCAATTTCATTTGTTACGACTTTTTTTTTTAAATAAAAAATCATGGCTCAGTCACTATAAATTTTGTACAAATAATCACTTTTCCCTCTAAACTCATGTCTTTTACTAAATTTACCATGACTGCTCTGTAGTTTCTGATAAAAGCTGTTATGACAAATCTGCAGCTCTAATCATTAGAGATGCTGATATTTTTCAATTTTCCATCAGGAAAATTAAAACAAAATACTTCATTCTGGGTCAGGTTGACCTGAATCAAAAAATTTCAGTTTCTTGAATCAAATCAAAATATTTCCTTTTGGGTCAGTTCGACATTACTCTGTGGCTGACAGAGCTTTAGGGTTGCCAATTTTGGTTGGATGTATTCCTGGAGGTTTCATCATTGTGGAGACTCAAGGTCAATCTTGGAGGGTTGGCAACCCAGCAGAGCCTCTGCAGTGCCTCATACTCCCATGGCTAGAATACATCTGCTATGATGCCTTGCAGTCTCTCCTTTGTCTGAAATGCCACAGTACATCATGGAAGCTGTAGTTAGTTCCCAGAGCTCACCCCATAAGAGAGAATGGGAGTATGAAGAATGCAAACTACAATTCCCATAAAGCACTGCAGCAGATCAGGCAAACACAATTCAATGTCAAACCACCCCTCAACAAAACATGTCAATATTTACTAACCAAAATTTTTCCAGAGATTTTTTTCTATGAAATTTTTTTGAGATTTTGAATTTTCAACCCAATTCAGGATGAAAATAAATGTTGAAATATCAGAATGACCAAGGTTGACTGGCATTCTGTTTTCTGACCAGCTCTAATGAATAGGCAAGAAAGGCAAAGGATGGGAGAAGGGAAGTACTATTATACCCATTTTACAGATAAGGAGCTGAGGCACAGAGAGATTAAGATTACACAGGAAGTCTATGGCAAAACCAGAAAATGAAACCAGATCACTTGAGACTCAGTCCAGTGGCTTAACTACAAGACTATCCTTCCTTTCCACTGACGCCTCTTCTTTGACTTGATTTGTTTAATTTGCTTTTGACAAAGTTCTGCTATGCTCCCCTGCACTCTATTGTAAATTATTATCCAGCACTTACATTTTCAAGTTTAATTATTTCTTGTGTAAATGAGTTTAGAGCCTAATGGATTTTAACAGTTGAAAAATAAATAAATAAATAAGAGAATCAAAGTGTGATGGTAAAACTGGCATTGTGCAGTTCCATTTTTATTGCTGTCAGTGACTCCATATCAAATGTGATTAGTTTATAGTTAAAAGATGATTTCTCTAATAGCCAGCCCTGCAAATGCATCCTGAGATCTGAGAGCTGAGTGGTGTTCTTTCCTTCTCGTGCATCATAGCCAGTAATACAGGTTCTGCAAGCCAAATTAGACCTTCAGATACACCTGTGAAACCCCATAGTCTTCACTAGGGTTGGACAGATGCAAGTGCCTAGAACTTAGTAAACAATTCTGATAATGATGCACATCCTATAAGGGACATAATTCAGTTCTCTTTATCAGCTGTGTTGATTCTGCAGAGCTAATAGGAGTAATAAAACCAATAAAAACTTTTTGACACTAAAGTGAACAGATCTGACTCAGAATACACAGAGGAAGAAGATCCATTTTTACAGTCATTTTTCAGAGCAGACTCATCCTTTAAACAGTTCTTTTTGTTGACTATAGTAATTTGTGTTTGTAGTAATAATGTTACTCATACTTACTCTTGGTCCAACTCCTCCAATAGGTCCAATTGGTCCTTCTTCTCCCTGAAAAAAAAATCAGGACTTGGAATAACTTTTTTGATACTGCATTTAGTTTTAAAACCTGCAAAGGACTATGTTCACTTATATTAAAATCTTAAACTTGCACAGTGAATGGACATAGGTAGAGATCTTTACTGCTAGGATCTAGGTTTGCACTATACAGGAAAGGGTCTAAATCTGACCTCATCTCACCCACTATTTGTCAGAAATCCATGTTTTACAAAATCATCAAACACAATCTGTTTAAGAAAAGCCCACAAACAGAGCTGGTAAAAAATTTTCACCATTTTTGACCAGCTGTACTGAGAAGACAAGGGGCTTTCACAGATGTATCTGAGGGTCTAATTTGGCGTAGATATGCATTTGTCTCTCATGGAATCTAGTACTTTGACAGGACTTTGTCTTGCTCTGCATGGTCGCCACATAGCTATAGTTTGATTCCTAAGCAAGCAGAACAGTTCTGCCAGGATCTCTCTTGCCTCTCAAGCAGATGAGAATGAGTGTGAGGTCAAAAACAGACTGACAACTTCTTTTTTTCATCCCAGCTGCCAGGAGTACAGGAGAAGAAAGAGGAGACATTATAGTGTTACCAAGAGCCTCAAAATAATCACACATGACGATGTATTGTAATGGTAGGCTTTTGAGGCTCCCGCATTACACTATGATGTTAAATCAAGATTCTGTATCATAATGCCAAGTCATGAGGTCATGCTGTGGTTATTTGATGGTTCGGTGACCCCACTTAACATGAAAGTGTTTCTCCAGCTCTTGGAGGCAGAGGTGCTCTACCTGGAGGAGAACACAGCAGTCTGAATGGAGGAAATGTGGTCTGCATTTTACATGGCTTCTGATTAAACTGATAGTTTTTTGTCACCGTTAGTCTTTTATCATTTAAAAGCACTCATGATAACTCATTAAGTCAGCTACATAGAGCTCTACCACCAGACTCATGAACTGATTTAATGCATCTTTTAAAACCTATATTTTCCAGCTATCTCAACAGCACAGAATAGCATATGGAGTTAGATTTAATACATACATATTTTATGCTAATGAATTAAGAATCCTTGATTAATAAATGTATAGGATGCAATCCTGGCCCCACTGATGTCAGTGGGAGTTTTGCCATTGAATTCAATGGGGCTAGGATTTCACCCAATATTCTTATTCAATATTATTATTTTAATAAACCCACCATTGTTTAATTCTGGATTCTACATGCAACATTCTGGGCCCACAGTCCTTAGACACTCCACAGAGCTGCTGAAATAAATCTTATAATGAACACACAATACTGTAAAATAACTAAAAATCTCCCAAAACGGAAACTTGAAATCCCGCCTGGCAACACTGCCCATCCTGAAGCAACGTTTTCTTATAGGAAAAAAATGGAGTCCGATTTCTTAAAAAATGTAACTTGTTGACTGGACTCTGTTTCCATCCTACCTCGATTCCTTTCGGGCCTGGGGCCCCCGGAGGCCCTCGGTCACCTAGAAGTCCCTAAATAACAAGACAACCAAAATGAGATTTTATATCAATCAATAAGCCTATTTGCCTGGTTTCTTTTCTCTTACAATCATTCAGTGAATGAGAGGCTGAAAGCTGAGGAAGGAGACATCATTATCTGCTATTGTCCATTTCCCTTAGAAAGCCAGGAGAAAAGCTGCCCTAATTTTAACATCGGCTGGAATGCTACAGTATCTAACAAAGTTTAGCTATATTGACATTTCTAAGATTCAGACTATTTTCATTTACCCTTTGAAGGAGGAGAAGGATCAAAGTACACCGCAACCTCGATATAACACGACCCGATATAACACGAATTCGGCTATAACGCGGTAACGCAGTGCTCCGGGGGGGCAGGGCTGTGCACTCTGGTGGATCAAAGCAAGTTCAATATAATGCGGTTTCACCTATAACGTGGTAAGATTTTTTGGCTCCCGAGGACAGCGTTATATTGAGGTAGAGGTGTAACTGGTGCTCACAAGAGAACAGTTTATTTTTGTTACATAACATTAGTTTGAACTTGATGGGCTGCTTAAAAAGGAACTGAGAAATCCCCTGTAAATCCAGGGTTTAGGTAATAGTTAGCCTAATATTTGACTTATATTAAAACTATTCTTCTTTCTACCAAACTCCTCATTCTATGCAGTTATTTCCCAAAGTCCAACACAATACCACTTACACTACCAAAGCAGATCAGTAAATCAATCTTTTCTTATTCTTTGGTGGGATTACGATGGCTTTCAGAACACAAGCATTATGGAAATAGCTGTACAAAGTTTAGACTTTAATTTTTTACCCCGCTGCAAGCTACTTCCAAGCATTGACTCTGAAGGCAGTAGGCCATGAATGAATTTATAACAAAATCTTGGTCAGTAGCATAAGACAGAATGAAATAAAGCTAAGCTCTGCTGTGTATGTGAATCAGCACTGCTTTGGCAAGGGTGATATCCTGTCATATCTCTAAACTTTATTTTCAGTGTTGTCCTGACAACTTAATTTTCAGTGTAGAAAATAACTTTGGAGACTGAAGTCCTCTATTTATTCACACAAGAGGTACTCCCTGGTAGTGGCATCACATACACCCTTCCTACACTGCCAAACCTATGTACCCAAATTCTGATCAGTTAGAGAGAGAGTTTACAAAGATTCAACCCTCAGCCAATATGTTGAGAATGCCTACCGAGACGTCAAATGTAATGCTGGCATTTGTTCTGTGGATTGGGAAGTGATTTGAGGGTATCAACTCATTCAGAACTGCTGCCAGATAGCAAAGATATTCAGCCATTACAAACCTTGGCAGGATTATATCCAGTGTCCTAGAAGTGAAGGACATATTCCATTGCCAACCCTGAGTCATCACATCCTCTTACAGCAACATTTATAAAACTCCACTACTCAGACAGAGGATCTAATCATGTTTCAAAGATCTGGATTATCCAAGTTATAATGGTAGTAACTGGAATAAGCACTCAACCCGGCTTTATGACCAAAAAGATCTATGTAAATATATTATTATTTATGAGGAAAGCCAGGCTTACTTATATCAGATAAAGCAATGAGAACAAAAAAATCATCTCTTATGAAAGAGATCATTAGCCTCTGAAGCAATATTGGATGGAAAAGCTCCAACTCTAACCCTTATTACATTTATGAAATTTAGACTGAAGGGGCACACATTTGTTCAGCAGCTTCCTGCCTGCCTTCTTAGCACGCAAAGCAACACTTCATAGAAAATGTATCGGGCCACCTCAAAATACTGAGTCTTATTAAAGTTCCCATCATTTGATTTTATCTGGAATAAAGTATGATGGAGAGCTACAGCTGGAGAGCATCTCACTGGCAAAAGCAACAGCAAGACACTTAGTCACACTCCATAAATAATACTGATCTTTAGTTGGTGAAGAAAAGTATTTCCTTAGCAAACAGAACTGTTATTTTACTATGCAATAGCAATACGTTAACAAATGCTAAGCTTTTCAGTATCATTTAAACTCATGCAATAGTGCAAATATTAGCAAATTTCTTAGCTACTATGTGTGTTCCTAGACAGCACTTACTCAAATTTATAAAGAACATCCCAGACTTTAAAACTGAAAATTAACTGCAGTTTCCATACCCTCACTCTGAGGTTTCAGGCAATGAACAGAAAATGAAGGTAGCCTTTAGAGATGTGCCAAAATGTCTGGAAAGAATTTGGGGAGTCAGCAAATGGGGGTACCATGTATTTTCCATGTGTTCAGAACTTTCCCTTTGAGCCTCCCTTACAGGATTAATAGAACTCTTAATAGCCATTTATATGAGGTATGCTACCCAAACAAAACATCAGTGAGCAGAGGAAGGAAGCTCGCAGCTATTTCCAGGGCACAACATGTATTGCTAGAGAAACCATTATGATATTTATATAGTAAGCATGTCTGCCTTACTTTTTACTCTGGCTCTTGTAACATGCAGCCAAAAGTATTTGCAAGAGTAACACAACAAACAAACAGAAAGATATTTCAGAACTTCCCAAACTAAAACACTCCTCTTTTTTATTAGTTATTATGCAAGTGCCTCATTTTTATGAGCATTGGATCAAGATCAAACACCTTCTAAGATATTGCTTCCAAGATGAATAATGTGCTATGGACCAAACTATGTAATGTATCTTTTGTGCATTATTCTAGGAGTTCATATTTGTTAATTACTGTAGTAATTTGGATAAAATGGCCATTCCCAAAGTTCTACTGGTCTTCAGAGACAGGTATATCATGCTTGCATATCTTACACTCTATCATGATGGTTGGTTTCTCTCATGCTAAAATATAAAGACTAGACCACCTTCCTGGCACTTAGTGCAGATTTTGTCTCTGAAGAAGCATAGAACAGAAGAATGAGGAAAAGAGCAGCTTGGTGAAAACGGTGTTCCAAAAATAAAGACTGAAGGAAACTCTTCAAAACTGCAGTGAACCCAAGACCACTGGGAATCCTAAAGGCAAACATTTCCAGTTTCATGTAGCCCTGCTCTCTCGGTATTAGGAGCTGTGCAAAAGCTATTCCAGTTTAGTAACACTGCATCTCCAATGTAAGTCACCAATTCTCTTTGATTAGACCTGGCTGTCCAAGCTTTTGGTCCTTGGGGGGGGATAGCTCAGTGGTTTGAGCATTGGCCTGCTAAACCCAGGGTTGTGAGTTCAATCCTTGAGGAGGCCACTTAGGGATCTGGGGCAAAATCAGTACTTGGTCCTGCTAGTGAAGGCAGGGGACTGGACTCGATGACCTTTCAAGGTCCCTTCCAGTTCTATGAGATACGTATATCTTCTTGAGAGCCAATGTGCTGGAGAGACCACAATGTCTTGTATAGTTATGGAATTCTTGCTGTATTAAATGAACTCTGGAATCTTAAATACTGTGGGCTATCCCTTAGCATTTCTGCTGGGATTTGAATAAATGGAGATAGACTAGTATAGTATCTCTGAAACATAAGTCCACTACTAATAGAGCAAATTAACGTTAGCTTTGAATTGCATATCCAGGGGAATAATATACATCACATCACTAAGAAGGACTTTTGAGCTCATTTACACTATTAATGCATTAGTGTGGCTATTTAAACTGAATCTGTATTTCTAGTTCTAATTTAATCCCACTTCTCTCATGTCCACTAATGCATAGGCCGGACAACTCCTGGAAAGGTCTTAGGTGCCCTGTCAATTCATTAATCTTACAAAAACATAATAATGACCACTCAACAGTATTCATATTAAACAAGCATAAATGGTAACAAATTAACTCAGCCAGCCAACAAATCAGAGCAAAAGAAAAGCTCCTCTCTAGTCACCTTTGCTTCTGGAAACACGTCAACCTTTCTCCCAAACCATGTAAAATGGCCTTTGCAGCATGCCTAGAAAGTTGTTATGTTTGGGCTGTTTGGATCAAGGCTATTTACACATTTGACAGATGTGGGAGGCAAGTGAGAGTCTGAGGTTGACCAGGTTTCCAGCAGTTGGAGTGACTATTAGATCTGAATGAGGGACTAAAAGAAGATGGCGTTTGGCTTTGTATAATTCTTACTGTTTATTAGGATATCAGCATTTAAAGGATATTATGGCCAACCCTGGCACAGATGAGACTCAAGCATACAAAACGTAAGCAAAGGGCTGAAGCAATGAAGGGTACTAGAGATTTAGGTAGCATTTGCATAGAAACTATACACAAGCTCATATGTTTAAAAGTGGATGGCTAAAGGGTTAGAAAAATACTAGTGTAACTCCGCTGTCTAAAACAGAGTTAAGCTTTGTCTACGTAGGAAAGTTGAACAAGTATAACCTAATGAGTGAATTTAAACACGTACAGTCAAACTAGTACAAACCCGTGTGGGCACTCTTATTTTGGTTTAAGAATGGCTTGTTTCAGTTTAGCAAAAAGTCAAAATAAGAGTGTCCATACAGAGGCTGCACCAGCTTAACTACACTGGAATAAAAACAAATTTAAGTTACACCGGTGCAAATTTCCTATGTAGACAAGGCCTGTCTCCTGACTATGAAAGGCAAGTCATGCACAGTTCACAGTTCTTTGCTAATTTCCTAGGGTGCAGTGTGACACCTATCCCCAGTCCCTGTTTTTTCCCCAAGAACCTTCTCTTCTCTTCGTATTTTCTCACTCTCAGTGCATTAATGACATTGCAATAAGGCTCTGTAAGTTCTTACCTTTGGACCTTCAGGGCCATTTAGTCCAGGTACACCAATATCTCCTGGAAAACCCTAAGGAGGAGAAGAGAGGCAAGCTGTTCATAGCATAGGAATGTTTCCATTGTACGAAGTACAAAAATGTACTTGTTATTTTGAATCTGTTTATTCATTTTAGAAATGTAACAAACCTGAATTGCCGAAAACAAGACATGGATTTGTTTTACAATATCCAAAAGACTTTGAAGTCCAATAAGCTCTCTTGAAAGGACTTGGCTGAGTGACAGACTTTAAACAGCCTTCATTAAACTCAATTTGACAGATGTCAGTATAGCTTTTATTTGTCTTTAACCCTTTTGTCCATTTATTATTAAATAGACCCAGTCTTGATCCCACTGAAATCCACAACAGAACCTTGCTCCATCAGTTATGAATGTAAACAAATTGCTTGAACCCCAGCACCTAATTGCTTGAGCCCCAGCACCTCTTTCATTACAAATTAAGCACTGGGCACCACTACACAGCAGCTGTCCAGCAGCTGTTGGGAAATGAGGTTGTGGTGTCTAATGCCAGCCCTGCTTGACAGACCCCCTGAAACCTGATTGCGGGCCCTCAGGGGGCCCCGGACCCCTGGTTGAAAACCATTGGTTGAGAACCACTGATTTAGACAATGAATTCATAGTTGTACAACAAAAAACTGGTTTATACTATTTTACAAGAGGTCTTTATACAGAGATGTTTTTTGACATTTTATATGAAAGTCACACAAGGGACAGGAAAGTCCGATATAAATTTCCCACAGCCACCTTAACTCTGCTCCATTTTACAAAGGAAATGAACAACAGGTCTTTGAAACAAAACTTGCGAGCTCTTTACTGCTTTAAAGTAGAACTGCAGGAACATGTTCCTCAGGAGATTAAAAACTGGCTGCAATCTGATAAATACAAATGTTGTCCATGGACTCTTTTGCCATTTACAAGTCCTGACTGATAAGATATAAAGGTGATGGGGGGGGTGTGATACAGAAATCTAGATGAGCAGACAGAGTTTAATTTATGAAATCTGATGAGATTGTAGTCCACACCCGTGTGGCTGCAGGACAACAATGTTAATGGTATTCATTGAATTCTCAGGTGATCATTCCATTTAAGAACAAACTAGGCCCAAGCCAACTTAACTTTTTAAAATTGAGCAAGATCAGACTTTTTCACACTGGTATTGCCATCTGTTCTCAAGCTAGCAACTGCTGCTAGCACTGTGACACTGATATTTTATTCAGCACAGGATGCACTTATTCATCTGTCAAAATATTATTTGATTTTGTTGTTCCATTACTTTTCAAATTTTACCAAACTTGGCTCAGCTGAAAAGTAAGTATGATTAATGTTGTAGGAAATGGGTGGCATTGATCAGCCCCTACCCTGAATAAAATATCTATTATTTGATCTATAAACTTGATATGCCTGACTCTCACAAAGGTCTCCTTAACCCTTACCACAGGTCATTTGGTTCTAAAGACAAATAGGATAATTTGTGAGTAGGAAAATCAAATATCTACAAATGAAAACTAAGAGTATCTTGTAGGCATCTTTCTGACATTAATGAACGAACTACACATGTACACAACATCTTTTAAAAATATCCACAGCTTTATTTGCAATACCAAATTCTTTCAGAGATGGAGACAGCACTGCTCCCCGTTATTATTTATGTCTAAATGCACGTCAACATTGAAGTTTTGAACATTTTTTAGTTTCCCCAAGTACAAAAGAAACCTATGAAAAAAGGTTGAAAAATGTTCCCATCACCTACTGTTCCCCCAAATCAAGTAACTCAAAATACACCAGTGGTTTTTATGAATCTTTCTGAAAATTATTCAGTATTAGCTGAGACTAAGCTATTAAATTTCAACCCCAAAGGTAAATTACCAAATTCATTCTAAAGCCCTTGCTTTAGAATGAAAGTACCATCTCATCCTTAACCACATTACTGCTACTGTAATATTATAAACAAAAGAGAATGAAATACATAGTACTGCTAGTCTTAGATGTTGGGGTTTTCGTGTGTTTACTTTTCATAAACTGCTTTAAATGAACTCAATCTGTGGTGTTCAGAAGTAACAAACCAGAAGTAAATGAGTAAAATAAATCAGAAATCTAAAACATATGTTTGAGAATTATTGATGTAACCTGTTTGTGACCCAGTTGGTTCTATGACCTTTAAAGAAACCTCTAAACTTTTAGTACTTGGATGCCGAGGGGCACGAGAACAAGCCCATTAGACAGAGTGACTGCCCGATTTACAATGAACTTTCAAAACAGACCTTTTTGTACCAATCCTAACTCTGTACACTCTAATCTATACTAAAACATCAAAATTAATGTTCCCCTTCAAAATGGAGAAATGTTTACTAGTATAGTTGTGCAACAAAACTGACATGCCTCAGATGGCACATAATATTTTATACATATGTGATAAATGCATTCTAATTGCATATTTAAAATATATCATTTATATCACTCCAGATTTTTAAATGGTTCAGGTTAGAATCTAAAAAGCACATGATTACTCACCAAATTAAACTAACTAGGTCAATGCAACAATAGTTGCTATTTCACCTTTTCATACCTCTAGAAGTTGCTGAATCTAGAGGCATTCGAGAATTTAAAATGTAGTTCTTTATATCTCTCTAACTATATTGGGGTGTGTGTCAAAGGCATGAATGGATGGTAACTGCTGACATGAATACAATTTCCTTTAGGTGATAAGCAGCCCAGAAAATGCTGTGTTAACAAGGAACTGGAAGAACCATATTCCTTTTAGAAGCATTCTTACTTTTTTTGTGGAGAAATCCTTCACATTTATTTATTTACTTGGGTGTATACAAATGCTTCTAAGAGAAATTCTAAAAGCTCTATGATTAAGCTGTAAGTGTAGACAAGAGCAAACTGAAGTCAGTATCGGTTCAGCTAAACCAACCCTTGAAACTGTGCTATTTCCAAATGTCAACAAGGTGTGTGACGTGCCCAGGCACTAGGGTAATGGGCACACTAGGAATACATATACTAACAATAATGGTACATCCAAATATTCACATATCTTCATTTTTATTTAAAAAAAATTCTTCTGTACCACAAAGTCTGCTTTTTAATCTTCTTCTGCTGAACACAATCTATAAGGAAAACACAGATACTATGACAGTCCTGGAAGACTGTTTTAAAGGAGTTTTCAAATTAATGACATGGTATACTAATGTAGCAGTAGGAAAGTGGTTAAATAATATTTATGATCAGTTTATCAGTAAGAACCTAAATGCCTAATCTACAGAAGTGTTGAGAAAACCTAACCCCACAAAAATCTACAATGAATCTTAGAGCTGCATCTTGAAGCCCTTAGTAAATCTTCTCATTTTCAACAATGGGAGTTTTGCTGAGTAAAGACTTATTATTAGAGTATTAGACCCTATGGATTGGTGCTGGGGAAACTATTTGAAGAAACAGATGAAATTCAGTGAGATTCCTGACTTAGAACTGTAAGAAATTATAATTATCACATAAAGGGATGCACAGATTGGCTCATCAAGCTATAGAGACTTATCTACCTTTGTTATGCTAAATAGGTACCTTGGTATCGGTTTTCAAATTCAAATTACAGTGGATCCAGTACTGTAATATCATAGGAATCTAGAATCTGTAAAATGTCCTCATTTCATTACATAAAATGGAAATTGGTCCTTTAATTTCTAATTTGGTTTACAGTTTTGATGGAGAGGAACAGCATTGCTATTCATCAACACCAAACAGGACCAAGTTGAAGCAAAAGAAAAGAACAAGGCTGGAACTCTTAAATTGTCTTGACAATACTGTTTTCCTTCCAAATTCTGAGCAATGTAACTGCGCTCAGTATACTCCTACCTTCAGAATTTCTGTTTGCCAAGAGTTATTCAGGAGTCCACACCCCCACGTCCACCTCCAGAATAAAAAAAATCTTTTTTTAAAAACACAACTGATAATCTAGGAGGCTTATATGTAATTTCCAGATGAAATTCTTGAGTGCAAAACATTAGCAGATATTTTGACACTTCCTAGGGAAATGTAAAAAGTAGAATATCTAGACTCTGCCAATAGCCAGAAGCCAAACAGCTGGTAGGTTACAGAGTACTTCTGAAATTCTGTAACAGCCAAAGAGTGTTGGACCCCTCCCATCTTAGACACGAGGCCTGGGAAAGAATACAATTAGGTGGATTACTGATTTAGACGGAATTCCATGAGCACCGTAAGTAAAATTTTTGGATAAAGTCCTGAGAGTCATTTTATCGGGGAAGAAGACTGTAGTGGGGATTCTGCCATTAGGGCCTGGATTTCTCCTACTCACCTTGTAGAGGTAATGACCACTGAGAAGGAAGCTTTCACAGAGAGATGTAGAAGGGAGCATGATGGCTTAGGTTTAAATGGAAGCCCCGTAAGTACAGGAAGTACTAGGTTAAGGTCCCAAGAAGAAATGGGACCTTAATGGGTGTCTTCTCAACCCCTTTATGAATCTCAGAACCGTCTGATGAGAGAAGACAGATTGGCCACTGACAGGTAGATGATGCTGAAACTCCCACCAGATGAATTCTCCCCGAGCTCAGAGAAACATTAAATCATTTCACTTTTAGCAGGTGTCCCAGAATCATAGGAATGACCTCGACTTCTGCCCCAGAAAGAGGTCATTCCTACTCCACAAAGTAAGTATGTCTGGTGGAGTCTTCTCTGCTGTTGACCAAAATAACCCTGAATGGAGAAGAGCAGGAACATGGGAGGCTAGACTTCCATCCAGGAGCCAGACCTTGAAATGGGGAGACATGAGCCCCTTCAAATCGAAGATACTAATCTGTGTACTGGACTTCAGTTTGGGGAAGCCAAATCCCTGTAACCATGATGACCTGCATACAACCATGGCTGTTGCCATTGTGTGAGAAATGATGTTAACCACATCAAGGGCTGCCTGGAGAGTCGTTTTTGCTATAAGCTGTCCCTCTGTGATTAAGGTCACAAATTCTTCTCAGGAATCAGCCAGAATTTTGCTGGTGAATG